AAAAAAACACTAAACAAACCTTCATTATAAATTTAATAATCATTCTCGCTAAGTTCCATATCCACAAATCCAGATGGAATAATTCAAAACCTCTTTTCTTAATTTTTGAAGCAGAAATAAAGCAGTACCTGAGTTCTATTCTGGATTCCAAAAACAAGAAAGCTGTTAAGACTCTGGCTATATGCTCCTTATTTGAAATTTTTGTCTAAAAATCCCCTGGCTTCTTTTTTGTTTAAATGTTTGTAATATATGTATGTATTAATAACATGTTCGTTTTGTTTTCTGTTTACTGAGAATTGTATTCTGACTTGTTCAATAAAGATTATTAAAAAAAAAATGAGCATGCACATTCAAATTGAATTCAATTTCAGTAAAATATACTGTACTATACTTGGGTTTCTATGTTTTATGCGTCATGTCTTTTAATTGTGTAAATGTTATGAATTACTTTTGAGTGAATGATACTCTTGTATTGCAGTTTCTTCGGTGTGTAGTATTTACACCATTATTTTGAGCTGTCATTAAAACCCAAAACTTATATGTAGATATTATTAACATTTAGTAGATGTAATTTACTACACTCAACGGTTTGTTTTTACAATGTAGAAGTATTTAGATTTGATTTCAAGTTCAGCTTATGTTCACAGGGTGGTCATTTTATGTGATTGCAGATTTTTAGAGGGCAATAAGCAATAGTGTGGTATTCTTCCAGAAAGTTGCAATGACCAACTCTGACCAAAAGAAGGTATACGATTGCCGCTGGCCGTGCACGGCCAAATGGGCCTCTCATATTTCAGAGAGAAGGAGGGCCACACACAAGATGAAAACAGAGATGAACAGCGAACGTTGTGAACAAAATGCAATGGTTTTGTGTTCCACCCCCCCCCCGCCCCCGAAAAAAAAAATTGTGAAATGTTGGAAATTAAAAAAATAATCGTAATAATAATTTCACATGAGGTGGATTTTAAAACAATAGGGTGTGGTGGGAATTAAACACAATACCTCAGGTTTACAAACTCCTGACTGTACCTCTCAGTTAGCATGGACCTGAACGTCAAAGCCTTTACTCTTCATGTACTGTATCTTTAAAAATGGGACGTAGCAGCTTGTAAAATTCAAATCGATGTGGCGCTTCCTGCTTCACTTACACTGTGGCCTGGTGTTCAGTGTTCTGGCTTGGAGTTCTTTAGGAATTTGGTTCAAATCCAGGCACTTTTCTAACAGTAGTGAAGGCACAGAAGGAGTGGGCTCCAGACCAGGCAAGAAGAGGACATAATGATCCATAAGTGTTGCATCCATGTGTGACAGAAACCAAAAAAAAAAAAAAAAACTGTCAAACGTTGCAAAAAAAAAAAGTGCACATGACGTGGATTTTGAGACGTGTGGATACAAAAATATAATGCAAAAGTGTGGTGGAAGTGTGGAGTTATTTTATTTATTTTTTCAAAAGTGATTTATTTGGAATTTTATTGCTTCCACTTGTATTTGGTTTTGGTTTCTCGTGCAGCTTATCTTAACAGAGTGGTCATTTTATGTTATTGGTGATTTTTAGAGGGTGATAAGAAAAAATATTGGCCTCTTTCTGGAGGTTGCAATGACTAACTCTGACCAGCAGAGGGCAGATATCGCCGTTTGCCGTGCACGGCCAAATGGGGCTCATATTTCGGAGCCGAGAAGAGCCATAAATAAGGTGGAAACAGCGGCGAAGAGCGAACGTGTTCAATAAATTGGAAAATTCTTGTGTGCGTGCGCGCGCGTGTGTGGCGTGTGTGTGTGCGTGTGTGTGTGTGTGTGTGTGTGTGTGTGTGTGTGTGTCAGAAACAAACCAAAATCTGTCAAATACAGCAGGATTTTTAAAAAATGGCTCATATAATTATGAGGTCGATTTTGAGACGTGGCTCCAGAAAAAAAATAATGCAAAAATGTGACGCAAATGTGGCATTTGCCACTCGTGCGAAAATGCAGTGATTTTGTGTTCCAGAAACCAAAAGAACCCGTCAAATGCGGCAAGATTAAAAAAAGCTCACATGAGGTAGATTTTAAAGGACTCGCTGGCATAGCAAGATTTATTTATTTTTTTTAACTCTATAATATGATCGGGATATTTTCTAAAAGGTAGTACAGTCAAACCTCGGTTTTCATCCATCATCCGTTCCAGAAGGCTGTTCGAAAACCTAAATTATTCTAAAACCGAAACCACGCTCTTTTTAAAATAAAAATGTTTACTGAACACGTCTGCTCACAATGGAAAGCAACACGAGGAAGCATCACTTCCTCGTCTACCTGAGGAAGCATCACTTCCTCGCATAAGGAGGGGCAGAGGAGACAAATGGTGCCTTCGAGTGCGCTCAGTTTGTTTGAGAACCGAAATTTGTTCATCATCCGAGGCATAAAAAAAAAATTTAAATTTTTGGTCGAAAACCGAATTGGACGAGAACCGAGATGTTCGAAAACCGAGGTTTGACTGTACTCTATAAATCAACAAATAAATCAAAAAGAAATATCCAACCCTGAATTTCAGACATACATCTTGCATATATTTATTTACATTCCTGGTAAACAGATTGTGGTTTGCACACAAGAAGGTTTCATCATTTTGTACTCTGTCTGAAGAAATTCAACATATCCAGATGAACTGTGTCAGCAGATACCCATTAAGTCTAAATCCATTAGGGCTAAAGCCACATTTTGTCATCATTTTTCACAAATTGAGCGTTGTTGATGAACACAGTCGAAATCGTTCCAAGTTAGTAACTGCAATGGTTTTGCCTGGATTTCACCGCAGTCCTGGTTACTGAGGCCGTTGGGCTGCCCAGCCTTCCAGAACCTGTGACACAGAACAAGCCCTCAAATTCAGACATGGACATAACTCATGTCGAATCACATGAAATTCGGGGGAATTTTTTTTTTTCGTCTCCACCCTTCCTTAGAACTAAGTGAAGTAAAACCTGGAAGTGAGAACACCTTATTGGGAAATGTTCAAATAGTACAAACTTACTCTGTAGTGAGGGGGGTCCCATCCACCCAAACCCATTTTCCTTCCTCGATATGATCGCTCAGACCAATCCATGCATCCTGGCTGTGCCCCAATAAACCATTCAGGAATACCTGTTTGTAAAGACCAGAATTGTCTGACATGACTGGAATTTCCCAAAATACATATTTTCAAAATGCAGCGTTACACAACAGAATTCCTTCATACCCTTGAGATTTCATTGTGTCCTGCACACACTCTCAACAACTTGTGAGAGATGTAGGAAAACAGCCCCAGAACATACATAACCGAATCACCTTTGCGTAGCACAATCGCTTCGTGTGGAGCACAAGTAAAGCCAAAAAACTCAGTCAAAACAGACGTTCATATCTCGCCAAGTGAACGCCTCATTGAAATTGGAATCCGTTAGTCTCACCTGTTCCTCCCTACTGTTTATGACAACGAGATCAGCTCCCCTGCTGATGCAGTCAAGCCTGCTCTCTGCCCAGCTCCGACTCAACCTCGACACAAAGTAGCAGTTGCCGCCAAACTTCTTCCAGCCGACCCCGCAGAGCATGCCTTCAGAATGTCAACAAAGAGATTAAGGAGGCCATCGGGTCACTGGACCCATGTCTAAACTGGTGACTTACTTTTCACCTTGATGGTCATTTTGTCCACGGTCTTCTGCAGCTCATACCTTTCTGTCTCCAGGCTGCTGTGATTTCTGCGTAGCCACTCGTATTCAATGCGCAGAGTGTTGCAGGTACTGTCCACGTAAGTTTTTTGTCTCTGCAGCAGTTTGTACCTGATCTGACACATGCTACTCCTCTCGCTCAACAAAGTATAATTTCTTTCCAGTTGGTCCTTATCCTCCTCCAGCAAAGTGTAGTTTTTTTGTAAATGGTCTCTGTCTTTTTTAATATTGTCGTAGAAAGACTTTTCCACATCCCTCTCAGAAGCCACTTTGGCCTTATTGGCTATAAGTAGCTCTTTCTCTTGAACGAGGGATGCGTAACGGGCATTTAACTGATCCTTCTCGCTTCCCAGTGAAGAGTAACTCCGTTGTAGTTGGTTTTTCTCATTTTTCAGATTGTTAAAGCGGGACATGCAATTATCTCTTTCAGTTGACAAAGTGGCCTTACTTGTCAAGAGAAGATGTTTCTCTCTACCGAGGGAATTGTAGCTGCTCTGTAATTGCACCTTCTCTTTCACGAGCAACTCATAACTGGCCTGTAACTGGTCTTTCTGGCTTCTCACTGAAGAGTAATCACGCTGTATCTGTTGTTTCTCATTTTTCAGGCTGTTGAAGCGGGACCTCAACTGATCTCTTTCTGCAGACAAGGTGGTTTTACTGGCCCGTAACTGGTCTTTCTCTCGAACAAGGGAATCAAAACTGACCTGTAACAGGTCTTTGTCCTTCCTCAATAAAGAGTAATCACGTTGCAGCTGGTCTTTCTCATTTTTTAGTTTGTCAAAGCGGGACTTGAAATCATCTCTTTCTGCAGCCACATTGGTTTTACTAGTTAGTAGAAGCTGTTTCTCTTTGACGAGGGCATTGTAGCTGGTCTGTAATTGCGCCTTTTCTTTCACAAGCAACTCGTAACTGACCTGTAACTGGTCTCTCTGGCTTCTCACTGAAGAGGAATTGCGCTGTATCTGTTCTTTCTCATTTTTCAGGCTGTTGAAGCGGGCCCTCAACTGATCTCTTTCTGCAGACAAGGTGGTTTTACTGGCCCGTAACTGGTCTTTCTCTCGAACAAGGGAATCAAAACTGACCTGTAACAGGTCTTTGTCCTTCCTCAATAAAGAGTAATCACGTTGCAGCTGGTCTTTCTCATTTTTTAGTTTGTCAAAGCGGGACTTGAAATCATCTCTTTCTGCAGCCACATTGGTTTTACTAGTTAGTAGAAGCTGTTTCTCTTTGACGAGGGCATTGTAGCTGGTCTGTAATTGCGCCTTTTCTTTCACAAGCAACTCGTAACTGACCTGTAACTGGTCTCTCTGGCTTCTCACTGAAGAGGAATTGCGCTGTATCTGTTCTTTCTCATTTTTCAGGCTGTTGAAGCGGGCCCTCAACTGATCTCTTTCTGCAGACAAGGTGGTTTTACTGGCCCGTAACTGGTCTTTCTCTCGAACAAGGGAATCAAAACTGACCTGTAACAGGTCTTTGTCCTTCCTCAATAAAGAGTAATCACGTTGCAGCTGGTCTTTCTCATTTTTTAGTTTGTCAAAGCGGGACTTGAAATCATCTCTTTCTGCAGCCACATTGGTTTCACTAGTTAGTAGAAGCTCTTTCTCTTCAACGAGGGAATTGTAGCTGGTCTGTAACTTGTCTTTCTCTTGAACGAGGGACTCGTAAGTGGTCTGTAACTGGTCTTTCTCGCTTCTCAGTGAAGAGTAATTGCGCTGTAACTGGTCATTCTCCTTTTCCAGATTATTGAGTCGGGACCTGAAGTCATCTCTTTCGGCAGTCACAGTAATTTTATTGGCTTCAAGTCTTTCCTGCTCTTTCACGAGGGAATTGTAGCTGGTCTGTAATTGGTTTTTCACCTTAGCGAGGGACTCGTAACTAGCCCGTAACTGGTCTTTGTCTGTCCCCAGTGCACTAGTCAGGGTATGTAGCACATCAGTCTCCCTATTTAAGAGGCTATAATTAGTCTGCAACTCATCATGCTGCTGCTTCACACGCCGGAAGTTGGCCCGAATCTCATCCCTTTCGGCAGTCAAAGTCATTTCATTGTCAAGGAGTCGTGCTCTGTCTGACACCAGAGACTCATAGTTCGTCTGCAACTGGTCTTTGTCCCTCATTAGGTTATCCAGTGTGACCTCAAGCTCATTTCTTTCCCTGTGGTTTGTGTCTGTGGGAAAGATGTCATTGTGGAGATGGTCGGATTTAGCCTGGTGCTCCGTTGAAAAACGAGGCAATATCTCATCTGTGAAAATTGATTTTAGGTGTTTAAATCAGTTGAAAAAAACAATGCCCCTTACACTCATGCTCGCACAGAGTGACGTACAGTAGATTAACTGTCCAATGTTACCGGCCAATAGGACGGCGCACAGCAAACCAAGAGACACAGTGATGCATCTGGATGATTTTTTCTTTTGTCGAAAGTTCACTGAATGAATTGAAAGGAAAATATTGTCAGTTTATAACAATAACATGAAAACATTTTTTGGGCTCCCAATACACCTGGAATGCAAAATAAAGAAATAAGTAATGCAATATATTGAAATGAATTATGTATATACTGTACATTTGACATGTATTTCAAATGTGTATTGAGAAGCACAATAATATCATTTAGCATTAACATGGTAGTGCTTTCACCTGACCTCCATCTTATTTTGGTGATTAATATTATGCATTACCTTCAGTGACAATCCCTTGCATCGTTAAGTTCTTTTTTAAATAGCCGCAGTCATCAAGTTCCATGGAATCCATGTTTATCTGTATTTTTTCCTAATTCTGAAAGGTGAAAGTTGTACCTTGGTATAAAACAAAAACAAAAAGAATATAGTCAGTTGTGACAGTTTTCAAACGTTGATTTTGTACTTCTGCAAGTTGGTTGTAACAAAACAAAAACAAACAATACAGATCTTGATTGCTCAACTCAACTCAACTCAACTGTATTTATAGAGCACTTTCAAACAGCCATCGCTGCATACAAAGTGCTGTACATAGAGCAACTAACATATACAACAGTAAAGCACTATCAAAGACGGTAGAAAGCATCAAACAGTAAAACTAAGATCGAGAGGGACCAGCAACGGAAGAGGCTCGATCCCCTCTTTGCACCAGTTAGGACAAGCGGTTGTTTCGGATATAGCACACTGTATTTGAAAATATTTGAAATGAAATTCCACCCAAAAACTACTCTGTAATTTTATTTATTTTTTTATTAATGTGACAATTTGACCCAGAACATTAAAAAGACACACACACACAAAAAAAAAAAAAAAAAAACAATCACTCATCTGGCCTACATAATAAGACACATTTACTCATATTCCTTTTCATTTTTGCCTGGAAAAAAAAATACACTTTTAATCGCAATGTAATGAGATGCAACAATTGTTTTTGTTTCCATTCTTTTTTTTTTTAATGTGTCTGTTTGCTTGTGTTTCCCATGAATTGTCTTGTTTCACAACTGTAGATTTGACACCCCATGTTTTACAATATCTAATTTACATCAGTGTACCATTATAAAGCCATGAAAAGTCCTTACCTTGGATCTGTGATGATGGATGAAGTGGGTTCTGCTTACGCATTAAATCACCAATAGATATATATATTTGTTTGTTTTTTCTTAATACCAGAGGAAGAAGGACTTGACTGGGCTCTGATTGGTTGGAAATGAACATATTGATATTGACAGTTCATGATGATCCAGTGCAACCGGAGTTCATTGACTTCTGGTTATGAATTTTGGGGAAGCAATTGAGTGTCTTTTTCTTTTCTCGGCATAATCAAGTCTTACCCTGTGCTTTCAGTTCCTCAGACTCAGGTCAAGTGGGAACAATTCAAAATGATTCCAGAATGACCTTTAGCTTTTCCACTCTTCTCAAATCATTTTTAGAATTGTGACTATGATTCAGGTGAGCTACTGTAGTAGTTAGCATTGGCAGTCAAAGTGTTTTAATTCATACACTGTCTTGTAAAACACAAGTAAACAGTCAAATGTGACTGAAACTGACATCTGAATATTTGAATATATGTCAAGATTTCGTGCTAAAAGCTAAATGCGTGTAAAAAATGAGCCAAGGTGCATCTAAAATAGAGATTCTGTACATGTTTTATGTTCTCTTGTCAAGCTTTTTCACAATTTTGATTTACGGGTAAATTCAAGTGGCTATCTGATGGTAATCAGCTTGCTACTGTCAACCTTTGCAGTAAAAATAGTTACTTGTTTTCATCTGCATTCCTCAAAAACACAACTTAGCAGTTAAATGTGACTGAATCTTACATTTAAATATTTGATGGAAAGTTAGTGGAAGGCCTATGTGTCGCGATATACCGTGAGCGGCGAAGAAGAAAAAAAAAACCCTCAAAAGTGGTTTATATTGCTTCTAAAATAAACATCTACACATTTGACGTTTGCCTCAGAAGCATTATTACAGTTTTGACTGAGATTTAAGCTGCCTTCTTCCCTCTAATTACTATGTACTAGCATGCTACAGTCGTTAACTTGACCATCAAAGTGATGAAAAAATTATTGGCAAATGAACTCTCAAATGATACAAATAACAAAAATGATAAGAAAATGAGTGAGCTTGAAAGAGTCATTGGAATATTTGATGGAAAGTTGACAAGGGCCGATATTTAATGCGTTATCGACAAGCTAGTAAGAACTCCAGGCATCAACCACAGTACTTATAAAACAGTGGTTCTTAACCTGGGTTCGATCGAACCCCAGGGGGCGGGTGAGTCGCTCTCAGGGGTTCGACGGAGCCTCTGCCATGGAGGGTAAGACATATGCGACTCAACATGTTAATTAGTTATGACACACCCGCTTGGCCATCACTGGCTGCAGATGATCACATGACATTGCTTGTCCAATCAGTGCTACAGGAAATTTAGTCCGCTCAGTAGTCAACGTGTTACTGTCATGATAGTATGTCATACAATTAAAAAAAGCAATGTATATGGCTTGAAATGTTCTTTACTTTTTTCTGTTTTTAATCAATGTGTTTTTTTTATGTCTTGAATTTGTAAAAAAATATGTATCCTTATTTTTCACTTATGAAGGGTTCCGTGAATGTGCATAGTACCTCAAAAAAGGTAAAGAACCACTGTTATAAAATGAAGTGAGAGTGCGAATACAAATGCGGTCCAATAAACTTTGAGGCCGGTGTTGAGATTTAACATGTGGATCCTGGCAAAAAGACAAAAAGGGTTAATGTGCCTTAAAGTCACAGTTCATTAACACACAGGGGACGAAGGGGAATGTCTTGAACGCGGCGGGATGAGCCTCTCCCCAGCAAAGTAAATCAAATGGGGATCAAGGAGGAAACGGGCGTCGCTTTTCGACACGGGCTTCAATCTTCCCTCAACGGGGAACTGCCAACAAGAAGATTTAGTTCTCTTTTCAGGCCACAATTAGATGCATAAGCACACAGTCGGAAGAATATTAAGCACTCACTTTATCAGTTTATCAAATGAAAACTGTGATACATATAATTGTCAGATAAAGAGCCTTATAGTTGCTTTCTTAATTTTATCTCGTAATTACGAGATCCTGTTCTCGAAATCATGAGGGTGTCTATATTTTAACAAGTGATTGAAATGCTCCACCTTAGTTTTTGCTCTCTTCTGGGAAAAGGTTTGAATTGTTTTCAGAAAAATTTACTTTTTACGTTATTGGAGGTGAAGTGATGGCTCTGCTCCACAGAGCTATCTTACATAAATTAGAGCAATTCATCAATGCTGAGGCATTATAGAGCTTGGCATGACAATGAAGAATTAGCAGATACTTGTGAGAGTAGCTGATAGATTGATTATTTTTAGTTATCATACATTCGCTTATTATTAATGTTATTATTGTTATTTTGATATTGATTGATTGATTGATTATGCTCGCAAAGACGAAAGCTTATGCCTGCAATGATAAATTGATTATGCTTGCAAAGATGAACGCTTATACCTGCAATCATTAATTGACTATGCCTGCAATGAAGAACGCTTATGCTTCTCATAAAGATATATTAATCATTATGTACTCACATTTATTATCCTTTGTATTATATTTATATACCGTACTCACATTTATAATCAAGAATGCTTAGTGCACTGTGTGGAAGTTTAGGGATGCAACCACCTTTCCGAGGACGTGGTTGGGAAGAGATAAGTGTTAAGACTAAACAGGAGCAAGGTTGGACAGTGAATGGAGCCATCAACACCAGCTGCAACGTGATGTTTTTGTAACAATTGCACACATGTACGTAATTTACACTCACATACACACACATAGTCAAACAAGTTCAGTGTGTCTTCAACAGCCTCCACCCTTTAGGTTGGACACACCTATGTAGTAGATTTCCCAATAAATAAGGGGGTGAAGGGGGAGATCGGGAGGGGTGACGTGCCGAGAACTGAAACCGAACGCTTCTCCTCGTTCCCTCCTGGTACCAGAATTGAGTCTCCTGTCTCCTCCTTGTGTTTTATTCCTGAGTGTCAAATTGGATAAACCTGACAGTAGCCCAGGTATGTTGAAATTCTCTCTAAAAATTGTGCTTAAAAAAAAAAAAAAAAGTTCATGCAAACAGACAGGCCCAAGGCCTGGCATCAAACCTCCAGGCCTCTTGCTGTGAGGTGACAGTGCTAACCACCGAACCACCGTGTCGTCTGATGTCTACTTGATATGTATTTTATGTACTTGTAAAAATTACAGTCCTTTTGTGAAGCTTTTGACAAGATATTTCCTTTTGGCTTGCAGTTCCTAACAAGCAAGCAGTGGATGAGGCAGTGGTCAACATGACCAGTTCAGGTATGAAAACACATTTCTTTGTGTTTATTCGTATACTTCTGTGGCACTGTGTCATGTGATATTAAACTAATGATTAACTATTTTTAGGGCACAATCTCTGGAAAACACTTGCTATGGAGGTTGCAGAGACCCAGAAGACCTCGAATGCAACAGCTGACTCTGTAATTGAAGTCCAACGCTACCTGGCAAAAGCCAGAAACCAAGACCCTTTACAAAATTGGAAATGGAACCAGAAAACATGTCCACATCTGCATCAACTTGCACTCAAAACTCTCTGCTCACCATTGTCATCTGTACCATGTGAAAGAGTATTTTCTAAGGCTTGGGAGCTGGTGTCTAAGAAGAGAAATCGCCTTGGAGCAAAGACACTCCAAAAACGTTTGTTCCTCAATACAAATTCATAAACTAATCACTTTTTGTCTTTTATTTCATACTGTATGATTTAACAGTGAACACAAATTTTTGACATAAATTAAAATTTGTAACTATGAATTGTAACTCAAAGTTGCTATATTTTACATAACTCTGTTTAGCATGTATACAAGCAAGGAATTTCTTTACCTGCAATGATTTTATAACTACTGCAGGGGTCACTATTGGGAGACCAACACAGTATCAATACAGTGCCGGCACAGTTTGTGTTGTGTGTCAATACACTCCTTGAGGTATCATTGTCACATCACTACCTTATACAGGTAGAGGTTCAAGGACCAGCTTTTTTAAAAAAAGAAATATGGACCAACTTACAACAAAGAATAGCTTTATTAACTGTAACAGAAAAGATTTAACATGCATCTGAAATTCAAAAATTAAATTAAATCCTTAATTAAACTGAAAAAAAATTTTGACTGACCGTGTCAAACCATACGATATTGAAAAATAAAATTACATAAAATACATACAGTAAATAATAATGCATTCAAACTGATCACAAACATTAACTCAGGAGCACAATATTAAAAAACTTTAACCTGCAAAACAAAAATATATAATATAATTTGTGTTGATTTTTTTAAATCAAAGATGATGTCTGGATTCATGGTTACAATGAGCACGTTTTGCAATGCACAGCTTTTCGAAGCGAGGTTTGAAGCAGGACACAGCAACTCTCGGCTCCTGCTCAATATGTAGCTGGGACCTGTGTTTTAGTTTACTGAAGTAGCAGTCACAACGCGGGATGATTGTTGGCAATATTCGGCACGTTTTCGCTGAAAAAAAGTCAAGGGGCTTATCAGCGTGATTGAGTGTAATGTCTTGAAGTGATATTTTCTTCCTTCAAATGCTCCCTGCACACACTCTGCCAATAAGAGCGCCACTGCTCCCTAATGTAGTGGAGGTGCGACTGCACTTTATTCTCGGACAGTAAAAAAAAATCTAAATAAAAAAATAAAAAAGCATGTTCCCCGAGGTCAAACGCACCGCCCTTGATAGAGCCCCACTATTTGAGAAGTACTGCCTTAAATGAAGACTAACAATGAAATAACAGTTTTAACAAGTCTGGGTTACATGTGGGAAGTGGAGGTGTCCGTTTCAAATTTGCAGAAAAACACGCTTTGATTGTCAGCCAGTTCTTTATTAGTCGCTACTTGGGGGGATAGTGTCCTGTAGTTTGTAACTGCTTTCAGGCCATTCCACATAGATGCAGAGTCGTTCGCAGGAAACAGTTTTTTTCGGTCTCGCCGCATCGCTTCCCTTTGCAATGATAATTTCCTTTGTCAATTGATTTCTAGCGTGCTTGTACAGTGCCCTATCTCCACTTCTCAAGGCGGCCTCTTCCTCTTTTCACATTTGCCTGAGTTTGGCAGTGAAGCATGGGTTGTGATTGTTGAAGGAGCGGAAGGACTTTGTTGACACACACGTCCTCACAGAATCTGATGTATGTTGCAGTGTCTGTGTATTTGTCCAGAATGC